GCTCTCAAAGCTATCCACAGTAGCAACCATATAAGCTTATATATGACCACAGCAGTTACAAGTCATGTATTTTTAAAATCAACTCAAAATTTAGTTGGGCTTGAAAATAAAGTAACCACTTCCTTGTACTGTATAATAACTGTTATGTGTATAATGGAATCTCTCCTTTGCACGTCCCACGAAGCTTACCACACTCCTTATTCATTCATTACCTTCCCATTGTGGACTCTTTAAATAGTATAGCTGTTTGGTTTGGCTCAGGGTGAATGAACAATTTACCAATAATATTCCCCACATAGCTCCTCTGGGAGGTTTTTACCTTTTGTGAATTACAGTGTGTATTTGGTAGGCAGGTCTTCTCAGTTAGGTATTAGAGTATTTTATAATGTAGATATTCCAGCTATAATTAAGCAGCAGTAGCTTTTGTGCTATGAAATTCACAGAAGCAAACTCAAAACAGAATGTTATCAAACAGTAAGAAAGACTTACCTGCTGCCGTAACTGTGGCATGTCACTATTGCCTAGACCCTTTCCAAGAATCACTGAATATTAAAAACTGGCAGAGATCTCAGAAATAAATCTCATCTAACTTGCTCAAGGTTGACCTAGGGGTGGGTACATCTAAGGGAATTGAATATTTGGAGTGTTGCTAGAGTGAAGATGAGGAACCTGAGCCCTAGAGAAGTTAAGTGATTTTTTCTAGGTGAGTAGGAAATTAATGCAAAGCTAGGCCTAGAAGCTAAGGCTCTTGACTTCACATGGTATTCCTTTACCTCCTCCATGAAGGTGCTTAGAAATATATACGACATTTATAATACAAGTATAAAATATTATATAATGTGTTTAATATAATATACACACACATATATTTCTTAATAAATTTTATAATTTATAAAATAAAATTTAAATTTTATAATAAAAATATATTATGTATGCATTTTAAATGGGAACTGCGATATCACTTTCATAGGGAATTCTCAGTGAGGAAACTCCCTCTACCAAAACAGATGAGGATCTGCTCTGTAGCTTAGAGAGATGGTGGGTGCCTTGAAAGGACAAGTGACTTGTCCGGGGTAACACAGCCAGCATCTGTTAGAGCTAAGACTTGAACCCAAGTCCTCCTTAGTCTGAGACCAACTTTCTATTTAATAGGTCACACTATCTATTTTATAAACAAGGAAACTTTGCTTAAAAAAAAAAAACCCAAACCCCAAAAATCAAAGTTACTTGCTAAAGTCACAAAGGTATTTAAGTTGGGAAATGAACCCAGGTCTTCTGATTTTAAGTCCAGTACCCTTCCCATTATACCAAATTTCCTTAAATGTCTGGGTATAACAGCCTATAACATATCTAGTCACAGAGCTGTACAAACATAAAACTTCATGAACACCAACATAAAACAAAAATTGGTGCTACCTCCACCCCCATCCTCTATGTTTCTTGAGGTCTAATTTAGCTGCCCTTAATATAACTTATTACTTACAAAAAAGGATGAAGTATAAAATTTTTCTGGATGAACTCTAACACTATACTTTCAGTTTTTGTGAATAGTTATAAGATCATGTTTTCATAAGGACATTTATTTTATTTTTATGGTGTAATTGGATTTTGAATTTTTTTTTAATATTAGGTTATAATTGAGTATTCAGTGTTGCTCAACACAATTTATTTCCAAAGTACAACCTAAAATTCTAATGGTCTACTTCTATTCTTATATGGTATGTTATAGCAGGGATTCCTTTTGTCTAGCAGTTGAACTAAATAACCACTGAGGTTCCCTACCAATTTTCAAATTCTGTAATTCTCTGATTAGGTTTGCCATGTATCGTCAGTGAAAATGGCACCAAAATGATAAAGGCAAGCCATCTGCTATCCAGTTTAATGGAACCTTTTACAATTAATAACTAATAGTTTAGCACAGTGCTTGGCACAAAGTAGGTGCTTAATAAATTGATCAATTTATCAATTAAATTGATTAATTTATTGATCAATGACTAATAGTTACTAATATTTATAAGTTATATATACCAATGTTATTATACATTATATATATATATAAAATATTTGTATATTATATAGAGCTTTAAAGTTTGCACAGTGCTTTAAATATGTTATTTGATCCTTACAACAACCCTGGGACATAGGTATTATTATTATCCCCATTTTACAGTTGAGGAAGCTGAGGCTGAGAGAGCTTAAGTGACTTGCCCAGGGCTCCATAGATGTTAAGTAATTGAAGGATTCAAACTCAGGTCTCCAAGCCATGGAGTCCAGCGCTTTTGGCTAAGACACCTAGCTATTGTGTAAACCCAAATTGATTACCTTAAGTCACCTCAAGGATCACTACATGAGTCTGAGGGGCCCCAAAGAACAAAATACCTGCCATTTCAGATATAGTACAATCAAAAGTCCCCACTTCCTGATTATATTTCCCCTGAGAAACTCTGCATGAGAGCGTAATGGACAATAACCAAGATCTTTAAATGGGTTTCCATTATCGTATATAAACATGTTTACAACTCTTAATTAATTAATGGCTTCCTCAAAATATTTTACCAGACATCATTAATTTTCAAAGATTTTGTCTTAAGTAAGAAATCAGGGAGTTTCCTCAGTACAAAGAATGGTTGGGATGTAAAGATGTACATGACTGACAAATTAGAGGCCTTAAAAACTACCTCCATTTTAAAAACTTTAAATTCAGGATCTGTGAAAGGTGTTGGTTTACAGAGTACAAAGCGGGCAGTTGTTTTCCAGAAAGCAAAGCTCAAAAAAAAAAATCCTATGAGGGAAAGCTGGGGAAAATGTCACTTTGAAGAATGCTGAGCTCCCATTGCCCTAGCAGAAAGATGATTATTCTGGTCTGAGTGGGCAACAGAGTTCACTCCTATAGCAGGGTAACAATCATTAATTTGCTGTACCATCTGGCATTTCAACAGTCATTAGAATGAAAAATAATTGATGGATTTCTCTTGTCATTCTGATTTTTTTCTTTTTTTTTTTGGATCTAGAGTTAAGGTTCCAGCTTAAGTGGTAATTTGACTGAGAGACCCCGGCTGGATGCATAGGAAATGCTACTGGATTTTATGACTAAGGTGCATGTATAGAACACCAGTGAGAAGTCTACTCCTTCAAAAAAGCAGGGTTAGGTGTACCATCTTTTACAGGAAGCTTGTAAAATGCAATATTTATCTTATAGAATTGCTACAGTAGAAAGAGAACTGGTTCTGGTGTCAGAGAACCTGAGTTCAAATATTGTGTCTGACACTTTTTACTTGTGCGACCTTAGGTAAATCACTTGAATTCCCTGGGCTTCAGTTTCCTCATATGAAAAATTAGATGGCCCCTGAAGTGCCTACCACGTCTAGGGTTATCTAGGGTTGTCAAGAGTGTTTGTATCATGACAGCAAAAAGGCAATTAATTGGATATGAAGATATTTAGGATTTTGGGGTTTTTAGGATATTAGAAAATTTAAATTTTATTTTATAAATTTATCACAAATTACAAAATTTATTATAAAATATATATACTTGTTGTTTAACAGGAGCATCTCAATCTCTTTTTCAGCAGCACGGAGCAATTTTAGTAAGCTCTTGCTTTTCTGAGGTGGGGAGCGGGGGTGGGGATGAGAATCTCTAAAATTGTTCCTTGATAATGTATCACAGGAGTACCAAATAGTATTGCCAGTTAATCCTCAGATAAAGCACTGCAATGCACAAAGGACAAGCATAGCCCCAATGAAGAGACAGAAGACAGCTCCCTGCTCCTACTCCTCTTCAGAAGCAGGAGGTCTACAAGAATGGAATATCACATATATTTTTCAGATATTTCATAGTATTGATTGGTCTTGCTGATTTTTTTCATGTTTCACATTTTTTCCTTAAAAATTTTTTTTTGGTTATATGGATGTAGGAGGAAATATAGATAGTATAATAACAAAATATATAATAAAAATTTATTCTTTTAAAAAAGCACTGTAACTCATCAAAACCCTCAAATTTAACTTTTGAGGCATGACATACTAAGACCTAAATATCTTCCCCCCCAGGTACAAAATCATAAGCCAAAATCTCTCTATTTTATAATTTCAAGGTTACAGATAGGAGTGAGAGTCAGTAGTGATGAACAGGAAATGCTTTCAAGGAATATTTAATGTAGATACCATCTGAGGGAATAGCTTCCTTTACTTTGGGAGACTTCTTTTTTCCTTTTTCCCTCCTAACCAGCTTGCGTATACATCTGTTTTGCAGGAGTTCAGACCTGTTTGAAGTCTGGACCCTTAGTATTCCTTTAGGAAGGATGGCAACCTGCTAGAATAGTTACAGTCAGAGATGCAGGAAGGGATGCTCCCTACGGTAAATACAAGGCAAAATCCAGGTTTTCCAAGAAAGAAAACAAAACCTGAACCAATTCGAGGCCGAGGTTTTCCTTCTGCTCCCAACTAATAAAATCAAGAGGTTGCAATGAGACCTAGCGGCATGTAGTTTGATGTCCTAAGCAGGATACAAGGAGTCAGAAGTGGCGCTGTAAATCCAGCGTGGGGCTTCAACCTTGTGTTAAGTGTGGCCTGAGTCTCAGGGACTTCCCTTTGATGCAAGTTCAGTATATTAATGGGAAAAGCATTCACTTTTATTTGTCTGTACTGTCTGCGACAGCAATACCACCTCATTTAGGCCAGCCCAACATGAGAATGCCCAGAGAAACACAATCTGTTGCAAATTAGCATGGCTCCCCTTTCATTTTACTAGCTAGTAATTGGAAGGGGTTAAGAAAGTGTAACTTATCAGATCATGTGTGTTTATCTGCTTGGGGGGGTGTGTACAGCAAGCCTTCCCTGAATTTTCCTATGCACCCCGAGGCAATAATCTTTCCTTGATGTCCACTTGATCTGAAAGCAAACACTGACGCCTGTGAAATATGGGAGTGTAATTTGTTAAGTTTGGGAAGGCAGTTTCCCAGACTCCTGAAGGGGGTATTAATGACTTTATTAGAACCTTACCTTTCTTTAGAAATATTTTTACTCTCTCGCTTCCAAATGGTCTTGAAGTCACTACAGAATTCATACCACACCATAAACACATAGTTGGGCGTGATCTCCTTCTCACCGGACTTTGGCTTCATCCCAAAATATCCTACCGTTGTTTCAAAACTGCAGGAGAGAAGAAAGATGAGAGAGGGAGGAAAACTGTCAACACGTAAACCCACTGGGGGAATCTAGGTTTCCCGCAAGCCTGGTTTCTGACTCAGTAGCTCAGTCTAATAATTACTGTAAATTCCCTTCAACCTTGGAGAGTATTACAGCCCTGACCACCAAATATGACAATCCTCAAACTGACTGTTTCTTTGGGGGCATGATTCTGGGGACATATCTTTTTGTCTAGGAATCAAAATGCATAATTTGTGTGTGTGTGTGTGTGTGTGTGTGTGTGTGTGTGTTGGGTGGGGGCAGAGTAGAATAAGAGGAGAAAATTTTGAATTCCACTCCTCTCTCCCCACCAGATGTAAAATCATGATAAAATGGGGGAACACTAAATACTGAACTAGGCATAAGAAGATTTGGGTTCCAATTCCAAGCTCTGCCACAACTAGAGGTCTGACCTTGGGTCATTCCCTTGAGCTCTCTGGGCCTCAGTTTCTTTCTTGCAAAATGAGGGGGTTGGTCTACATGATGATTATGGTTCCTTCTAGGCATAATATTCTGATTCTACTTAGCCCAGCATAATTCAATAACATAAACAGACAAATCAACTCATATAGTATACTTGGTGCAACCAAAGTCAGATCTGCTCGGGAGCTGGGAAGATGTCTGGGCTGGAAGAAAATCCTTTGTAAAGATTTAAGAAGAGAAAAAACCGAGGCCTTAAAGAAAAGAATCTCCATATGCTACGGATCCTTTTTTGCACTCTTTGTCGTTCAATTGTTTTTTAGTTGTTTGTGACTCTTTGTGACCCCATTTTGGGTTTTCTTCACAAAGATTTTGGAGTGGTTTGTCATTTCCTTCTCCAGCTCATTTTACAGATGAGGAAACTGAGGCAAACAGGATTAAGTGACTTGCTTAGGGTCACACAGCTAGGAAGTGTCTAAGGCCAGATTTGACCTCAGAAAGAGGAGACTTCTGGACTCCAGGACCAGCACTCTATCCACTGCCCCACCTACCTGCCCTTTTGCACTCTAGTCTCAGTTTTCTTATCTGTAAAATGAGGATGTTGTGAAGCTCAAATAAGATAAACCATCTAAAGCACTTTGCAAACCTGTAATGCTAGCTATTATTATAAGCGGCTAGATGGTGTAGTAGATAAAGTTCTGGACTTTAGAAACACTTGAGTTCAAATTTGGCCTCAGAAATTTACTAGGTGTGTCATTTAATCTGTCTCAGCCTCAGTTTCATCATCTGTAAAATGGGGAAAATAAGCAAGCCTACTTCACAGAGCTGTTGTGAGAATCAGACAACATGTATTTTACAAGCCATAAAGTGTTATGTAAAGATTAGCGATTTTTAGTATAGAAATGCCTAGGTCCCCTAAACTGTCTTTCTTTGAGTAAATACAAAGCTCTAGGTAGTCAACAATTTTTATTTCTAAACTTAAACCCTGTTCTTATTCACTCCCCGTACCTCCTTCTTTCCCCAGCAAATACCAAAACGCTAATTTTCCAGAGGCAAGCACGCTTCAGTAAAGGGACCTCTTTCCTAGGGCACTGGAAAGTAATCAAAGGAGTTATGACCAGCAAGGTTTATGACTCCATGCTCTATCATCTCCTGCAGGCTCCACATTTTTGTGGCCATTCTGAATATGGGACTTCTATTGGAACTTTGTTCATCAGTGATTATAAAACTCTGAAGCCCCTTTACTCTTATACTTTCATCTCATTTTCAATTATTGTGCAATATGTATCTCATAAGATTTTTATCACACTTCACAGATGAACTGCTAATTGACTCCATGAACATAATGAGGCGAGATCCAAGCTAGAACTGCAGCTCAGAGTTCTATAAATTCTTTTTGCTTCTGTAAATTAAAAAAATAAAATCTGTTTTTAGTACAAATTAAAAATGTGGGTCAGGGATTTTTATGTCCTCGTTATTAAAAGAATGGAAGTGCAGGAAGGGAACAGGTCAATAATTTTAGTGGTTTCCTAAGAGAATTAGCCTTGTAATTTTAAACATACATATTTTGATAACCAGAAAAACAGAAATAATAAAAACAAAAAAGAAATATTCTTTTTTTTCTTTTTGAACCAGATGCAAAACTTTAAGACTACAGGAATAAAATTTCCTAGGAAACCAAATGAATAGTCAGAAGTAATTTTTTCTATTAAAAAAATTTCATTACTTATTTTATGGAAACAAGTAACAAATTAGATAGATAACATAGAGAGAGGAGTTTATTGTGGAATATACAGGATGTAGATTGTTATATCCGGAAAGAAATCTTAGAGATTATCTAGTTCTAACCCCTCAATTTATAGATGATGAAAATGAGTCCCAGGTAGGTGACACAATTTTCCCAAAGTAGTTAGTGGCAGAGACAGGATTAGAATCCCAGTATCCTGATACCTAATTCCACTCTTCTTTCTATTACAATTCCATATCTCTCTTAGTAAGTGGGATGGGTATTTAAAAGACAATATTTTCTTCTGTTTTAGGCAAGTAGTTTTTACAAACTTTTGTTTTTCTTTACCCATCCTAAAGGTCTGGTGGATAGTACATAAAATATTTCTTATTAATTTTCTCCCTCTATTCTTTCATCTTTATTTCGCACGTGCATACACAATCAGTAAGTCTACCTTTAGCACTGAGAAATATGTTCCAGGAAAGAGGAAGGAGAGAAAGGTCATCTCCTTCCTCACCAGCAGCATGAGGCAAAGGGGCAAAAAACAAACATTGTGTTTGAATGGATCCACAGACTCCTGATGATACTATAAACACTGAAGCCATTTCAGGGAATGACACTATGGGTTGGAGAATTGCTATTATCACAGGGAAGGAGAAAAGCATGTCATCTTCTCTGAGGTTTCAGTTTCCCAAGATGTAAACAGAATCTAACCATATACACTCATTGTCCCCCTCCCTGGGATTCTGAGGCCCTGTTAGCTAACACTTACTGGGGTGAAAACTAAAGGGAATGCTGAATTTCAGCAATTCTGCCTGTATGTTTTGGAAACTAACAGCAAATGTACCTCTAGAGAAACCAGAGAAAACAAATTGTTGGAAGATGAGCTAAGCTTGGCTAATCCCTCCAACTTTACCAAAAACCAAACACTTGATTTGAGTCAATCTTTGTTACTCTTCTCAAGTAAAACCTAGAAATTAAACCTACAACTATCTGAGAGGTTTAGGATACCAAGCTCCAAATGCAACATACTTTTCTTTTATAATTTAATTGCAATAAGTATTAAAGCTGGCCACTGTAAACAATCTAAAATAAGCTTTCACATCTGAATAATAATAACCAATCATATTAATAGAGCAGGTTAATAGTCTCTAACAGACAGCAGTCCAAAGGACAATATTCCTTACATGTCTCATACTAGAATGATAATGCATGAAAGTACCTTTCAACTTTAAAAAAGTACATTTCTAACTGTATATTTTATATTCATATGACTTTTTTTCTACCCTGAAATTATTCCCTTTATTATCCTCTTTTTTTCCTTCTGCAATTTCCTGTCTGATTTATATCCTTTTAATTCAACCAAAGACCCTCCCTCCCCCTTCCAGCAAAGTGAATTGCTCTGTATCATCTCTTAGGTAAAAATCCCAGGAAACTGTATTTACAGTGTAAGATCCCACACTGGAACATGTTCACTTATTGTTTTCCATGTATGCCCTTCAGAAACTGCTTAGGAAAAGCAAATATTCTCTAGCCTCAGAGTAAATTGTTTCTCTTGAGGATAGAACTGAAGAATTGACCAAATCTTTTTTTTTTTAATTGACCAAATCTTGCATGAATATTACAACACTGACCACCAACCTCCTTTTAAGAGGGCAACTAAACAATTGTGGTTTCCACATTAAAGATGGGATCTAGCATTTTTTTTCATGTCTATCATGAAAGCTAGACCACCTTCACCACAAAGCCACAGAAAATGCTGACAATGGCCATTTATGGCCTCACTCAGCATAGCTAATGCACCATAGCAGCCTCACCCACTCAGGTGGGCCTCTTTTCTTTAAGTTTGAACAAACAGAGCAAGCTGAATTTCTACCCTTGAAAGTGGCATTTCTGAGTGTTCTGATACCGGCACCTTCTTGAGATTCCCTATATGAACAAGATTACTGCCCTATGAAGTGTGTGTGTGTGTGTGTGTGTGTGTGTGTATATATATTCCTTTATACACTGGGAAACAAGAGAATAACATATACTCAGCAAAAGTACCCTCAAGGGCTTCTTAAACTTTTCCCACTCTTTGCTGGCATTGCATGGCCTGAGGGCATGCACAGTGCAGAGTGGGCATGCTTTGTGTTCAGAACCAAGGCTGTAGTGAAGGTACGAATGCAAAGTGGGCAAGCACTGCCAGAAATACCTCAGATTCATTATGCATTTGATTTTTTAATTAATTTTTGGTCATTGCGTGTTTAGAAATCTTCTACTGCTGCCAAACTTTTTGCAACCCCATAAGGGGTTGTGATCCGCAGTTTAAGACGTGCTGCGACAAAAATTTAAGATTATAACTACAACTATAACACCCCCCCCCAAAAAAAATCATAGGGTAGAAGAATTATCATGCCAAGGGGTTCTATACCTAGAAAACTGAAAATATTTTTCCTAAAGTTCCTACCCTAGTAAGTTCACAATGTGAGTGGGTGTAGTGGAATGATGACCAGATGACACGTCCTGTTACAAAGCAGTATAAATGGAACCAGAACCTTTTCCTACCCAGTGTTTAGAAATCAATGGGTTTCAAAAAACAAACAAACAAACAAACAGCTGATATCCAGTAGTAATACAGAAATTTATGTTAGCAATATGGAATAATAGAGTGCTGTGCTTTATTTATCTAACGTCCAATGTTTTTCTCATTTCATTTTTGAATGCAGTGGGAATTTTGTCCGACATCTGGACCAGCAAAGACCTGCACCAATTATATGCTCTTAATTTGAGAACATCTAAAGCATTAGGTCCCCACTTAACTTTGCAAAAGGGAGAGAGTGTTGGGTTGCTTGAACTGTGCAAAAGGAATAAAGAATGTTAAGGAATCATCTTCTCAAATTATTGGTCTTTTCCTCATAGATGTGTCCTCTTAAGAGAAAAGAGAGTGAGGACATTGGTTATTTAGAGGTCTTTCATCCCTTTTCCCCAACCACACAAAGCATCGTTGTTCAAAATCAGAAGAAAGGAAGGCCTTTACAAAAGTTCTGGAAATATTGTACTGCCTTCTCTTGGAGCTTCTAATCCAGTTTTCAATGAATTATTTTTCTCTTGGAAGTTTGGCCTTAATGGGGCTGAGAGAATGGTTCTTCTAGAGAAGAATGAGAAACTGATTGGCCACTTACCTTTTCTGAGCATTCTCCAAGTGGGTTTCTTCCATTTTATGCTCTCCTTTTGCTGTGAAGGAAGAACAATTATAATTACCCAAAAAACTCTTTATCTTCCACCATACCTATGACTTTTTATCTCATGCTCAAGATCTGAGAATTTGCCTTAAAAACAAAACAAAAACAGAGTCTTTAATTACAATATCAGCTTTCATTTGGAATTGGCAACTTAGAACATGATGGTGGAGATAGTATATGGAACAATTTTGCAACTCTACATCACTCACTCACTCTTCCAATTTATCCACCAATAAGCATTTGTTAAGCACCTACTATATGCCAAGCAGCATGCTAGGCGTTGGGGATACAAAAACAAACATGAAGTACTCTTAGGAATCTTACATCCTTTTGGGGAAGACAAACATATACATATATAAAAGTACATATGAAATAGATTCTAAGTAATTTGGGGGTGTGGCCTTCTAGCTAATGGAAAGATAAGGAAAGGTCTCACATCTAAGGTGGCATTTGAGCTGAATAATGAAGGAATCTAGGAATTCTAAGAAGCAGAAATAAGGAGGGAATACATTCCAGGAATAGGAAACAGTCAGTGAAAAGGCATGGACATGGGAGATGGAGGAACACTAAGAAGGCCAGTTCGGCTGTGCCATAAATCCTGATAACGGCCAATGCCAGATTCCCACCAGATTTCCACATTCTTATCACCTCACAATCAACATTAATTCAACTGCTTCTATCAACTCCCTTTCTACCAATATCATGAATTCAAAATCTCCTTCCAATTGTTGAGAACAAGTCCATATTCATTGAAGACCGAATCACAGGGTGTAATCTTCTCTGAGCTAAGATGCTTCTTCAGGCTGAATTCCTGAGTCATATCAAAGGGTGTTCATAGATGAAGTTGAAGAAGAGGAAGAAAGTCTTTGTGTTATCTGCTGGAATATGGTCACGAAAGTAATCACCATTGGCTGTGGACATGCTTTGGCTTGGCTTATCTCAAGAACAAAACCTTTCTACCTTTATATTGCACTGCATGTTGGGAATTCTCCCAACTGAGAACTCTTTAGAACCAGATATTCTATAAAGGTCAGCTCCCCAAACTTTTACAATTAGCAGCTGAAAGTTCTTTTCAAAGTATGAACTACTTGATTATTGGCATTATTTGAGAATTCAGCTTCTTGAAAAAATGATCTTGATAAATATGATCACTGAATATTAATGTCTCCAGTTTTCAAAGATCTGATTTTCTTTGGCCTTAGTCTAGTCAAGTAGTGGTTAGACCACTAGGTGACTCTGTGCATAGGGCCTTGGGCTTGGATTCAAGAAGGCTTGAGTTCAAACCCTCACCTCAGACACTAGATATGTGATTCTGGCCAAGTCATTTAATTTCTGTCAGATTCAGTTTCATCTGTAAAATGGGGATAATATCACCTACCTCACAGGGCTATTGTGAAGATTAAGAGAGATAACATGAAGCACTTTGTAAACCACTACATAAATATTAGAAACTATTAGCTAATATTATTAATCATTCCAGACCAGCATTTCCACTTATCTCATTAGAAATATGTCAACTACTTGAGGCAGTCTTGTGTTAACAAATGGAGCTCTGAACTTGTAGCTGAACCCCTAAAGCTAAAATTGTGTAATCCAGGCTAAATCTCAGGTCCTGATATTCGGCTCTAATATTCCATGAAGGCAGAGACATTAATCTTCATCCCCTGTACTAGCTTGCATATACTAGGAAATACATTTCAGTTGACAAAGCTCTTTGACTTGAAAATGGAGATGATATACTTGTACCGTATACTTCAGAGGGTTGTTGTGAGGAAACAGCTCTATTGAACACATAGGAGATAGCTTTATGTTTATATCTGAGTTCTTAATGTGAAAGAGAAATGTGAAAATGAAAGGTTCTTCTACCTTTATTCAAATGTCAACTATACAGAATAATTAAATAATTCCTCCATAAAAAAGACTGTACCATATTCCGCCCCCCACTCCAACTCTCACCTAAGCTCATCTGCTTGAAATTTAACCATGACTTTGAAAATAAACATGACTTGGTTAAGCATTTCTTAAAGGTTAAAAGGTTATAGATCTCTCTGCCTCATCCAAGACCAAATATTAGAAATATGGGATTCTGCAAAACTTTTATCTTATAGTAAATCAGCATTAAATGCCCATACTTTCCCATTTTCAGATTCTCTTAGCATCCCAGGGCTGAATGGGATCATGAGTAAGCACTTAGCCTATTCCATATTTGAGAATATGTTATATTCTCATTTTAACAGATATCTATCTTATTCTTTAAACTAAGTACAGCATGATATTTTTCAAGATCTCCTAATGATAAGTTATGATTACTTCAATTCTCCTAGGAATCCATAGACTCATGACCTAATTGTGGCAAGGTCCTCTAAGTGCCTCTTCACAAATGGCATACTAATTTTGCATCCAACCTCAGAAAACTACAGAATCTCTTTACAACCTTTCCAGTCTAAAAATTCTTCTTAACCTAAATCAACATTTCATTCTCTTCCATGACAGCAGTCTTAACTGACTCCTTTTAAAAATTTTAATATTTATATATTTTTAACATTCATTTTTTAAAAATTGAGATCTCATCATTGAAACTGAAAGTCATCATAGAATACAAGCCCATGTTACTCTCAAGTTGAAGACTACTTTAATGTAATAAAAAAAGTTAGTCACATAATCTCCTTGAAATATTTATATTTTAGATGTTTAGTTTCATACATTCTAATTATGGGCATACCTATTCCTAATCAAATTTGATGAGTTATATCCATTTCTAAACTAAGAAAAAAAGAAGGAAATATATGCAACAAATCCATAAAATAATTGTGTTCAATGATTTTTTTATCATGGTGCAAAATAGAAAGTATGCTACTAATAAATACTTATTGATTGGTAGGGCTATTTGTAGGTATAGTAGGAAAGAGTTGGACTTAGAGTCAAGAGGATCTGGGTTCAAATCATGCCTCCAAAACTTAATGGCGATGTGACCCTAGGCAAGTCACTTAATCTTTCTGAGCCTCATTTTCCTTATTTGTAAAGTGAGGGTAACAAAAACAGCTATCTCATTGGATTGTGAGGATCAAATGAGATAATGTATGTAAAATGTTTTGCAAACCCTAAGGCACCACATAAGTGTTAGCCATCATTATTTTTCTCATTCTCACTATATTATTATTATCATCTCATTCTTTTTTACCTTTTCCAATAAAGTTCAGATAAAAAGGTCCTGAAACAAGATACTGGCCGGCTATTATTCTTTGTATTTAATGTTCTGTGGACTACTGTGCAAGTGGATAAAATACCTGCTTTTTTATAGTTTACTAAAGTAGTAGGATGTAAGCTTATCCTCAATAAACTCAATGAAAGCAAACAGGATGATGAGGATGATCTGTACTTTGTCCATTTCCACATTGCATAATTTTGATTTCTTCTGTATTCTGTAAGTTCTTTCTTCCATTTCAGTTGGAGGATATGTGTATTTTATATGGTGATAAAAACATTGTTCTAAAGTTTTTATGAATAGACGTTCTGCCTAGGCAATCACAGGCAACACTTTGATCTGTGACAACAGTCCGATTCCATGGCAGTTTATTGATTGCTTTCTCCTGGATAACTTTAGGTCTGTATTTGTATCATGGGGATCTGTTGCCTTTCAATTAATGAAACATAGGAAGCATGCAATGTAAAATTCTAGCTATTGAGGAATGTTTTGTTACATATTTGGTTGGGGCTAAACTTTTGTAGTCTGCAATGATGTGTAGCAGTTTCTCATTTCTCTGTATAACCTATACTGATCACTATAATAATATATTATACTTATACAGTATAATATGAAGCTTATACTAAAGGACTTTCAAGGAAGCACACATCCTATGTATTAAATGATGATGATTATTGGTAGAGATTATTGAAATCAGTTCTTCTAATCCTCTCATTTAAAGATGAGGACACTTAGGCCCAAGAGATAAAGTGACATGTTTAGGATCATATAGGTAATCAGCAGCAGAGCCAGAACTCAAATTCAAGTCATATGTGTCTAAGTCCAGTGGTTTTTCCACTATACCATACTACTGTAGTTGATACAATTTCATTATTTTTAAGATACACCTGCTGTACTACTAATCCTAACTTCCAGGATTTTAAAAACTTGCTTTTTAAAGAGTTTTCTTTACAAAAACCCTGTGAAGTATATAGTGTAAGTATTATTATCCCTATTTTACATATGAGGAAACTGAGGCGTATAGAGGCTAATAGGACTTACCCAAGGTCACAGAGGTTCTCCTGGATAACAGAGCAAGGACCAGAACTCAGACTTTTGACTCCTAGCTAAGAGTTCCTTCCATTAATTTATTTTATCTTCCCATAAATCAATACAATCTCCACTCCAGTTGAAAGAACAAATCAACAACCTAAAGCTAAAGCCTTACTGTTGGTGGGTTATGTCCTGATATTTGTACATGAGAGTATATGGTATATAAACAAGTTAATGGCAGTGGATACATTCCTTAGAAGTTCCCTATTCCATGTGACTTTGAAACCTTCTGACTTAGACCATCTCAGACAGATGTATTTTCCTTTCTTAAAGCTTTGCATAAATACCTTCAATCACCTGTTTCAGATTGCTTTTCCCTCTGTCTGACCTAAATCCTTCTTACTGAAGTTTTAGTCTATGCATTGTGCTCTGTCTGTGGTAGAGGTGGGCAAACATTCTTTACATAGTTGGGAAATTCAATAGTTGAGAAAAATGATAAAGAATTTAGATGATAATATTATCACCTTCTAGTTGTATAAAGCTTTACAGTTTTTCAAAATGCTTTCATAGCTATAATATCTTAATATGATATCTCATTCGATCTCCTCAACAACCCTGTGAAGAGGTAAGGGTAGGTACTATTACATCCATTTTACATATGACAAATCTGAGTTTTGGATAGGACTTACTAGTTACCAAGTCAGGGCTAGAACTTAGGTCTCTTCACAATACACTGTCCTTTTTTACTGTACCAG